ATTTATCTTTCCATGTTTTTTCCGTGAATGTATCATTTTCACGGAATTTTTACGGAAATAATGGAAATATTCGGATAAAAATTTTTTATAGGGCGGATGAATTTAAAAATAAAAATAAAGCCAGGTCAATTGGATTTTCTATTTAACAAGAATTTTTATTGAAAAAAGAGGGGGGAGGAGGAGAGGGCCAAAAATAACTTACAAAATTTTTTAAATTATTTTTTACTACAGTATCAAAATTTTGAAAGAAAATGAGGGGACGGAGAGGAGGGAAAAGTAATAAAAAAGAAATCTAAAAATTAGATTTCTATGGGGGAATATTATAAAAAAATTTTTTTTAATATCTATATGAAACCAAATTTTTGAGAGGAAGGGAGGGGGGAGGGATTTAAAAAAAATTGATAAAATTTTGCTTTTTTTAGTGTCTATCTAAATTAAATTTTTTGAGAGAGGGGGGGGTAGAAAATCAAATTGATCCGGCCTTATTAAAATATCTAAAGCGTATTATATTTTGATTCTATAAGTTGTAAAGAATCCGAAATCAAATGTGTTATCTTTGAATAATAACAATAGGTTGATCTAAGAATAATTAAATCTTCTAATAATACGAATTTATTGTTCTCTAAGGAGTTCTTATTAGAGATTGATACGAAAAGTATCGTGAAATTGCGATTAAGAGAGAAGCAGTTTATATTTATAAAAATTAATGGTTTGCTATTACTAGAAGTCGATTTGATCCAGCACAAAATTTAGCATTTATATATTTTTTTTTAGAAGAATGCATACTCCGATTTTGTTTCACGTATTTGGTTATTTTTTTTTTTACAAAGGAAAAATTTATTATAAACACGTATTTTGTTATTGTTGCATTGGTTCTGCCAACATAATCATAAAAATGCTTTTGTCCGAATATAATTACCGTATATGTATTAGTTTGTGAAACTTCCGATAATTCCCGATGCCAGTTTTTCATCTACAGTAGAAGAATCCGAAAGAATTTCTTTGTTAACAAAACTTCCAATTAGACAATCATATTTAATATACTCCTGTAAAACCAAGGAATACCAATAAATCAAGAACTAACTAAATTCTTTATTCTTTATTTAATATTATCATTTAGCCACATAGGTTCATATTGAACATCCTATCCATTTATTTTATGCAGAAATACAATAATCTATATATGATCATACAATAATTTAAGTAAGTAGAATAAAAAAATAAAGCAACCACTTAAAATAAACTTATTTATACATTTATATAAACTTTTTAAACTTTTATATAATTAACTTTTTTTAAACTTTTACATATAATTTTTTTCATAAACTTTTTTAACTCTCAATATGAACTAAAAAAAGCTAAACGATAATATAATTATTGTATGTGATATACTTAACAATAGGATAAAATGGCTGCGCCATTTATCCTTTTATCAAGTATAATATGTAAATATTGTACGGTAGTATTTATATTGGTTAACGTCACTTCGTGACATTAACCAATATAAATACAACAACGTACAATATCCATAAATTATACAACTACAATCATTTATCATTTATACTAGCGTATATATTTTCTGTTATCACTATTATATTGTCTGATATTATAAGTATACATTAACCAAAATAAATAAATCATATCACCATTAGAGAAAAAAAAATGTGTTCATATGATTCTGATTATAGAAATTTGATCTGTAGATGCGAATGGCTAACGTATAAAGAGTTTTAGATCAATCACCCAGATAAAGTAAATTTGCAGATCCTCAGCTAAAACCCGTGATAATTTTCATAATTTTGGCCAAAGTCAGATAACGTCAGATTTCCTTTTTTGTTTTTTAACGAAGAATGGTAAAGACGTTCTATAGATTTGTTCCAGACCTTTAAAAGGAATTACACAAAGAATGCAAAGAACAATAGGATCACCAAAGGCGTTAATTCATACATGCAATGAACTTCTGTAAAAGGAATAATAAATAGGGATTAAAAATAACTATTTTTGTTTCTTTATTGTAAAAATATATTGTTTATTTTAAATTTTTTAAATCAAACAATTAAATAAATAATTTCAAATGGAGTAAACATATGTGAAACAAGTAAATGAATGTATCATATGATTCTTATAAAATTTTACAATGAATTACTCAACACAAAAGACGTCATAGAAGCTTTCATAATTTTTATTAATAATTCATTTTACTTGATTCCAAAGGGTTCCAAATGACATTAAATTAATAAAGTTTTTTAAAAAAGCTGCTTTTTTGGAAACTCCGATGCATGTTGACGTTTCAGAATTGGTCATCTGTTTAGATAATTTTTTTTTAAAAAAAGAAAGAAAAAAAAGACCAATATAAATGAAGTGACTTATCAAAGAAAAATGGGCAATAAGACTAAATTTAGATAAATTATTTATTTATTTTTTTTTTTTTTCAAAACATGGGGTTGATATTTTTTTTTTTAAAAAAAAAAAGGATATATCATAAATTTTGGAATTCTACGTTTTTACTATCGTAAAGGATTAAGTGTGGCTAGGTGTGACGTATGTGCATTTTCCGTGACATCGATTTTCTTCCGCAGCCAAAATTTAAAAGAATTTTGATAGATACAACTTTACGAAAATCGGTTATAGCTTATAGGTTAATGCATTTATCTAGTGAATTTTAGAGAATGGAGAGTAATTACAGTATGAAGGATTGGTTAACTTTTTAATTAATTGTGATTATTTCGTAAAGAGATAGGGCGCAATAGCTGGAAAAACTCCATTACATGCAAGTCGATCGACTAAAATTGGGCATTTTATTTCCAATGATTTTTTTAAAAAAAAATTAAATAAATAAAAGATGGCATATGACCAATTCAGGAGCGCCAATATGCATTTGTGTTTTCCGAAAATGTATTTTTTTAAAAGAATTATTTATAAAATTTTCATTTTGAACTTGTTAGAATCAAGTAAACCCTTACTTAAATTAGATTTTGAAAGTCCTTATTGACGCTTTTAATTGTATAAATTATTTGTAAAATTATTTAATATATTTAATATATTTTTCACATTTTTTATGTTATTGAAATTAATTATTTAATGGTTTGATTTAAAAAATTTATAATAATAAACATAATTTTATAATAATTAAATAAAAATTTCCTATTATTATTCCTTTTGTGTAATTGCATTGTACGTATAAATAAGCTGCATAACTTATTCTTCAGATTATTCTATTGTTCTATTTGTATTTCTTTATTAGGAGCCTGGAACAAATCTATGTTCTAAAACGAAAAAGGAATCTGATGTTACTGATTTTGGCCAAAATTATCAAAATTATGAAAATATGTCACTAAGATTTACAAATTATATTTTAAAAATTTTTTATATTACAATAAATAAAATAATATAAAATAACTTCTATTAACTTTAGGTCGCTATATCTTGTGAAAATCTTCAATAAACGTTGTATATTGGTGATAACTGATATGATCACGAAATTTATAACATACAGTATTATAAAGTTTAATTATCACGCAAGTTAGTTACAAATAAATAACAGAAAATTTTTATCTTCAGCCGAGTTGCGAAAATTTAATCATGTTTTCTAATGAATTTTGTGATTTTGATTTTAATAAACGTTATAATAATTTATCGTGAATCGAACCATAGATTACACATCCTGCTATTCATTCCCATTCTTGAGATTATAAGAGATTTCTTTTATTTGAAATTTCGCGTGGGAAATACAATAGTTAATTTTTCTGCGCCAATATTTTTTGAACGTGAGGATAATTTTTCGGATGATTCTCTTGAATTTATTCGTAAAATTTGCCCATTTATTGAATATTTATCACGTATTATTAGTAACAGATGAACATTTATAGAATTCGAAAAATTACTAAAAGTTTGTCAAAATTTGCAGTCATTATTGATAATTTTTCAATCAGATACTACTATGTAGTTGATATAATATTTAGTTCGAAAACAAATCTAAAGAGATTAGATTTTTTAATAATTTCAAATTTTCTAACATGCGATACAAATTATCAAGTAGATTACTACAAGAATTTATTTAAAAAATATAAAAATGAAGGTGTAATTAAAAATTTTGAAATTACATTTGAGGAATATTATAAATAAATAAATAAATTTATGTTTTTTTCGCAATATTATATATATTTTATAAATTATGTATACTAAACTTCATGGCAATTAACGTATTTGACATGATCTTTCAAATTTTAAGGAAAATGACAATTGCATAAATCATTTAAAAATTAAATTTATTTACAAATTATGCGTAATACTTAGAAATAAGTTATAATGATCAAAGGATATTTAAAGCACGAGAGAAATATTCGTAAGGTAGTTAGTTATATTATGAAATATGTAATATCTTAAGAAATAATAAATAATTAATAGGAAAGCTACTAATTGAACTTCTCATTTACTAAGTAAAGTAATTCTGTTACAGTCTTCAAAATATTCAAAAATTTCGTTCAAGCGATCCTCGCAAAAAAAATTGTTAAATTCACGTAATCATGCTTTTTTTTTTTAAAAAAAAAAATTAGTTAGCGCATTTATTAATTATAAAAACAAATATATTGATTACATAATTATTATAAATACCTAGAAAATAACAAGAATAAAATTCAAGTTATCCTCCATGATCTATGCTAATTATATAAAATTAACTATACTAACAATTATATAATCTATTCTATTATACTAAACCAGTATAATATTTTATTTACCATGCTCCATTGCTCCATGTCTTTATAACTAATTGAATTCCCTTCAGTCACATCTTGTATTAATTTATCTTTTGCTACTAAACGAATTGTATTTCTAATTATTTTTCTTTTTGTTTATTTTCATCTGTTTTTCCTACTTTTTTAATTTTCCTAAATACTAAATCTATATTTTCCGTCCTTTCTTTTCACTTTCTTTTATCTTGTAACTTTATACCTTTCTCCTTTTCTATTTGTTCACTTCTTCACAGTGTTTTATCCAAATCATCGTCCTGATCTTCTCATAACAATAACTTCAATTAATGCTTTAAATTCTTTCTTATTCGAGATGTAATTAAATTTAATATTATAAACACCTCTTAATAATTCCCATTCACTGGTGTATCCTATAAATACATTTGAGTTTTCACATAATATCTGAATAAAAGCTATATTACAATCTCTCAAAATTTCCACATCTTCATTTTTCTTTCATCAATCAATTTTCTTCATATTCATAAATCAATTGTTCTATTACTTCTCTTACTGTCATCTCATATCCATATATGATTTCAGTCTTCTTTATACCTTAGGCATATTAATCTATACCCTCTTCTCTTTCAAATAGTACACATATGTTGGTAATTCTTTTATTAGATTCTTAATTTAATACGCTCGCTCCTTAGTGATTGAAGTTCTCTTCTAAACCTTTCATCCCCGTCTACTTCATCTGCTTTATCAGAAATACCAAATTCATTGATATATTTGAAATAAACTAAACCAAACTGGATAATATTCATATATGTTGTTTCAGACGCTTTACCTTCTATCTGACTCATACATTCCTTTAAAACCTTCTTCCTTTCAATTTCTTCATTGTGCAGTTGAGGAACGTCTATGTCATCAAAATTCTCCCTTTCGTCATCAGAATTCAACGAAAAATCTTCAATGAATTTCTTAATACAATCAAACATTTCAACTTGAGTCTTTTTCCTATTTCTATTCACAGCAACACCAGTATTACCAGCATCATTATCATCATTTTCATCATCATTTTCATACTGACTCAATTTAATTTTTAATTCATCCATCAAATTACGAAAATCATAAATAGTATCTTCCTCTGCATATTGCCAAAATCATTTTAACGTTCCCAATCAAATTCATTCTTATAATTATAAAAGAATAAATCTTCTATTTTTCTGCTATTAAGAATCTCATACTTCCATATTGCTTCAGTGCACTTTTTCCTCCAACCTCTATAATTTCCTTTAATTAAATTTCTTTTCCAAAATAAATTACATTCATTAGTAATGAGACCTTCTTCTAAAACTTCAAATGCTTGCTTATCCAACTTATTTGTACTCATTAACGCTTGTAATTTTCTTATTTCTGTTCTAACTTCCTCCAAAATTTTTCTTTCATTATTACTACATTCCATTATCTTCATATCCATTTTTTTCAAAAAAATTTCTATGAATATGAGTTCTGTAAAAAATTCATTGTCTAATCTCCTATTACTTAAATTATCTAAAAATTCTCTTAAAACTCTTTTAACATTCTTATTAATCTCTAAAAATACATCACTATTATTTTCAATCAGTACTAAACCAATAATCAAACTTCTTAATAAAACCTTATATTCATTCTCATTATGCATTAACATTTTTGCACTTATCCTTATTTCATTCTTTTTATTTTCCTCTTTACTTCTTATTATCCATGTTATCAAATAATCAAATTCCTTTCTTCCCTCTATACTTACTATACCTTTAATTTTCAAACAATCAATTATTATATAAAACCTATTTCTTTTATCAAGAGTATTCTTGCTTTCTAAAATACTATTTTTCAAACTTCCACAAATTCACATACGTAATCAAACTTTATTAATATTGTAATACAATGCCATAGGCTATTACAATGTAGACGTCCTTAGGACATCTGTTAAATAAAGTATCTATCAGTAAAGTAGTACTTGCACTTGGTGGAGAGGGTGTTGAAGGTGTCATTTGTGTTTTTTGTTTGAACAAATGGTTTATGGTATTTCTGATACTTCTTCCTGTTGAGATAGGCATAACACTTTCAACTGAGTTTTGAGCATTGAAGTAGTTGGGATATACTAAATGGAATATTACACATCATGAAAGCTTTTGTTATTGAACGATTTATTTCATTACAATAACCTTTTCCAATTCTTTATTTTTATAAAAAGATTGAATAGAAGTTTGTCCATCATTTAGCTTTTGTTTTTTAGTTGTTGGAAATGGGGAAGGCATAAATAAACAGAATTTAAATTCTGTATCAAATTTACTTCACGATTTCTTCTATTCAGGTTTCTTTTAATGGAAAATTAATCTTCCCAATAATCAAAGTGTTCTACATGCAACCTGAACAGGAACCCTCACAGAAAATCAAATTCAACATCTAAAAGTGGTTTACAGTTGAAAATACTAATGTATGTGTAGCAACATGTGACCCCATAAGCAATGAATCTTCAGGTCCTCAACTAACCACACTTTACACCCTCTATCTGCCTTCAAGACTTCAGACATCCCATATAATAATAAGTATTATAATAATTTTTTAACTACAATTAATTATCCTGGAGTCTCAGAATTTGACATTTTAAAAAGATGGTATTAGAAGCTCTTTTTTGTTCTAGTAGAATAGATGTTGTATTTGATTTTTTAAATGTTTTTATAAGAAAAATGTTATATTAATAATAAAGAAATATATGAGAAAAAATAAGTTCCCATTATACTGTATTTCACAATATCTCTTTTAATCTTTCTTTAATAAAGTATGCATCTGCAAAAATTCTTGCCAACTGACCCTTGCCTGTGATTAAAAATTATCTTGAGTTGCTCTATATCTTTAGGTTGAAGAACATATTTACTACCATCTTGTATGTTAACTGTAGTCAAATACTATTTTTGTAGTTTTGTTGATACATCATTAGACAAAAAATAAAATTCCAAGTTAGGATATTTGAAACTGAAGGTCATATATTCCTGAGTATAAAAGAATGTTACATTTTTAAAAAAAATCCAGATTTTCCATTAAGTTAATCTTATCATATGACATTTTTTTCTTACAAAACAAAAGAATTTTTTTTTTTGCAAATGAAATTTTTTTTTCTTCATCAAAAAGAAGGTCTTTTTAAATATAAAAAATAACCATAATAAAATATTGTCAATTTTTTGCCAAAAAATAATTTATCATTAAATTAAGCCAAGTGTTTAAAAGTTAAAGTCTAGTAATGTATACTTAATGAAAAAGAGAAACTGTTATTTTATTGGGAATTAATTTACTGTGAATTTCAACCTTTTTGGACTATTAACCATTTCGTTATCATCCAAATTATCAATAGGTTTATTTTCAACTGGATCACAAAAAAAAAAATATGTCTGATAACTCTGCAGTTTAATTAGTTTAAAAAAATTAAATAAATAATGTATTTGAAGTAATATATTATTATTAATTATTCCTCAAACTGACCAAAAAATTTAAGTAATTTAGATGGCTTTAAAAAATTGTTTTTAAAGGGTATTGATCTAGTTTCTTCTTTTTTTAAGAAGCAATTTTATTATATCTTCTGACCCACCAGAATGATATGTTTCCAATTTTTTATCCACAGTTCCGCCATGATCAGTTAATGCCTTAAGACTGTTGAAAACTAAATACACTGTAAGGAGTTCTTTTAAATTTCCAGCATCTGTAAGCAATTATTTAACATTAACAGTTTTAGGTTTATATTCTTGAGCAAAATAAGATGATGAGCATGAGGTAAACTATGCTTTTGAAATTTTTTCTGATTTCAAACTGGATCCAATATGATATATGTTATAAAAGGTGGCTGATAAACTTCCCCAACAAAAGTAATACTAATTCTGGTCTCTGAATCAGACATTTCCTTGAAGAATTCCCATTCCATGTAAACTGTGTTAGGTTGTAAACTTAGATTATATTTACAACACTTACAGTATTTAAGCTATGACTTTTCCAAAAATGTCATTTTTCAATGCAAAATATCATTCAATATTGATTTCAGCTTCATATTAAAGATACGACTTATTAAATCAGGATGATCTTGTGCATTTTGATTCGGAAGAAAGCTGTAAAAGGACCCCGAAATATACATAAAAGGGTCAGGTCAGAGTTTGCGTATAATGAGTCAAAAAAATCATGTAGATCATTCCTTTTATGGATAATCCCAGCCAAAATAATATTTCCTAATTTAGATAATGGCTGAAATTATCGTAATTCCGGCCCTGAAAGAATGCGTATTTTGGACCACTTCTGGACCTGACCTCTACATATATATTTCGGGGTCCTGCTGTAAATACTAAAGATACTATAGGTAGGTTATTAATTAAGCAATAATAGTTCTTCCAAAAACATCAGTTATAAAATATGATCAAGTATGAAATTTCAAGCTCATTCACTTTCACAAATATTTTAGTCATACCAAGGTGCCTGATTCCATAAAAAGCTAGTGGCTGAAAATATGATTAATTGATTTTAAAGTACTTGGCTTGGCTCTTGGCTTTGATAATCAAGTTTTTGGCATCAATTTCCAATATCTAATATAGTACTCTCTGCATTCTTGAGAAACCTTTGAACAGTTAATTATTCAATATTCTCTAACATTTAAATATGATAAAATTATCAAATATATTACCATGATCTTGTTTCAGGCCAGGTTGAATTAATAATTACATTTTAAAATAAAAATTATATTAAATGATTTTTGTTTAATTAATATAGTGTGATCTAAATTCAACCTTATTTGTATATTAAGATAATATTGCATTATTTAAAGCCCTTAATAAAAAACTGAAATTTTCTCTCACTAGCAGTCTTTTTAAAAAATCAGAGGCAGTTACAGAATTCCATCACAAAAAAACTGAAATTCCAAAAATAGATGTGTTGTATATACAAACACCATGCATGGTTTAGTATTTATATAAAATCTTTTTTCTTATTCAAATAACTCCTACTCAACTAATACTTTGGTAGTGATAGATCTTCCAGTTTTATTATATTTCTTAACTCCTCATAGTTGTCATATACATTAATAAAAATATGCAAATTGTTCTATTTTGCATATACTTATAGTCCTGTAATATTGTAATGTTTGTATGTATACTTGCCGCCCATATAAATGGGATTGGGAGAATCCCATATCCCATCCCACCCATATCCCATCCCATATCCCATTTATCCCATCCCATTTGTCATAATCCCATTCCAATCCCAAATCCCAATCCCATTCCAATCCCATATCCCATATCCCATCCCATATCCCATTAATCTTATACATGTATATTGTGTAACCTTACTCCCATTGGTCTATCTATCACGTGATGTTACACAAAATTCCAAAAAAGGAAATTTTTCTTCCCACGGGAGATTTGGTTTCACAAGCATTCCGAAAAAGGAATTTGTGTATAAGAGACAGTTCCAATACTAACCGATAATTATTATGATTTTCTAATGAATAAAAGAAGTAATTACTAAATGAA